GCCCTGCGTGTAATGCTGTGTGTATGCCATGTGTGTAATGCACTGCATGTAATGCTGCGTGCATGCTGCGTGCATGCTGTGTGTAATGCCCTGTGTGTAATGCCCTGTGTGTAATGCCCTGTGTGTAATGCCCTGTGTGTAATGCCCTGTGTGTAATGCCCTGTGTGTAATGCTGCGTGTATGCCCCGCGTGTAATGCTGCGTGTATGGCCCGCGTGTAATGCTGCGTGTATGCCCCGCGTGTAATGCTGCGTGCTGTGCTGCGTGTAATGCCCTGCGTGCTGTGCTGCGTGTAGTGCCCTGCGTGCTGTGTACACACACACACCAGATTATTATGACCACCCTATACCCAAAGTAATTTGCAAATCAACTGAATGCCAACATATGTGGTTTTCTGAGCTCAGTTCCACTTTAAATAGAAGGTAACATGAGGAATGTAATATGTGAAAGCCGTCACATTCCCATCTGTTTGTTTGTTTTGTGCTGTAAAACCAGTTGGTTTCCATATAAATATATCATTTGGATTTCTGACGGTAATGTACAGAAAAACTTCTATGGGGACCTTTCTGTACTCGCAATGAACTGTAAATTGCTTCTGAATTTCTCCCTTTGTTAATTATTCCCATTTTTATCTACGTCCAATGAACATTTTCTAGCTATTAAGCCAGCGGCTACTGATCACAATGTCAGCTCAGTGCTGTCTGCCCCTTTCAAATCTAATTGGTAATATGTAAATAGCCCGGAATAAAGGGGGGTGTTGTTCTTTCTTCTAAGTGAACAAGGATCTCTTGTATAATTCACAAGTTGTAAAATGAGGATTCACACTTAACGGGTCACCCCCCTCTCATATGATCATCCTCATAGCGTCTGTCTTTGTCTCAGGCACGGTGAGTTTTATTGCATGCGGATTTCATTCTCTTCTTTTAAAACCAGAACCAAAGTGCTTCCAGTGACATGATTTGTGGAATTGTTCTTCTCATTAAAGTAGAGACCTCAAAATCAAAATGTATGAGCCTCATCTGCAGACTGTGTGTTCTTCACCTATTTAGTCAGAGCAAACATTTCAGCGACTGGCGAACGCTAGTCAATGATCCCTCTACCGGCTTTTATCTTTAACTGCCTCCGGGCCGGCCGTAGGAAAAAAACGGCCGGCCCAGAGCTCTCTAGATCTGAGCGGGCGTCTTTAGACTGGGCAATGACCGCAATATAAAAACAGGCAGAATAAAAGTCCCCACCCATACATACATACATACATGCAAACATGCGTTGGGGGCGCATACGTGCAACAAAGACGATTGCGCCCATTACGCCGCACATGTTACATATCGCCGCGAACGTCTGCGTGAAAGCAATGAGTCTAGGGCCATCAATCACTGATAACACTAAACTGATGAGCGGTAAAAGCTTTTAAAGTGTTGCCTATGGCCAATTTTGGGTATGGTAGTTTTCTGCGATGTCGCGGGTGCGCGCAATTTTAAAGCTTGACATGTTTGGTGTCTATTTAACCGACGTGACCCCGGCTTTTATATTTTACCAAAAAATTGGGTAATAATAAATGTTTCCTAACATAATGTTAAAAAAAACTTTTTTTTCTCAAAATTTTCAGTAATTTTTCCTAATTATAGTAAAAAAATAAACCCCGTAGTGGTGATTAAATACCACCAAAAGAAAGCTCGATCTGCCAGGAAGGGGGTCTAAACACCTGGTCTTGAAGTGGTTAAAGGATAGATAAGGCCAGAACTTTTTGGACAGAGTGGTGAAGTTTTAGAACCCGTGTCAGATATTTATAGTTGTCTGTTCCCATTAGATAGATTTAGGATTCACATGGGTAGTCTGTATCTAAGTGCATGCAACTGGACCTGTACGGGTGGGCAGGTTTCGAGTTTGCATGCCGTGTCCTGTCATAGGGATGTAAGCAGTAGATATATGCAAAAACATTGAAAGAAAAATAGAAAAACTTTTCAAAAGGCCCGCTTCCCGCGCTTCCGTCCGAAGATCGGAAGATTCTCGGGCGGCCGCAAAGGGTCATGGCGCGGGTGCATGCACAGTTAAGATCTTCAGCCGGGAGACAAGGAGAAACACAAGGTAAGTCAATGGAGGCAGTGTGCACCTGCACAGACTCCGTGGGACAGGAAGAGACAGGAGTCAGTGCTGGATTAGAGACCGACGCCAGCGCTGGAGGGACTCCTGAAAACTAGTGGAAAGAAGATGATGATCAGATCAAGTGGCATCATTTAAGGTAAGTCCTTACACTAGCATTGGAGGGGAGGGGGATTTTCTTTTGCCTTTAATGTCACTTAAAAAAAATAATTTCTGGAACATAAGAGAACATCCTAACAAATTGGAAATATATTCTGCATCTACTGTAGGAAAAAATACATACTCTGCTCCAAATGTATATATTGTTAGAGAGAAGAAAATAAAGTAGATTCTAAGGCTTCCAGTCTATGAATTCATGAGAAATATGCATCAATGTCTTTATATCTTCTCTGTATTTAGTGTATTCCTTACATGTCTGTGTATCATTGTGTTTTAGTATCATGTCAGAGAATCTAAGCAAACTTTCTGTTTTTAGGACATTGCGAGTATGGCTGAAGAGAGACAGCGGGCAGTATTGGCCAAGTATCTTCCACACCATGTCATGTGAGTTCAGATTATAATGTACCTATAACCTATACACACCATAGGGGAGATCATAGCAACCAGTCAGATTCAGGTTAGTGCATTACAGCTGTCTGTAACTCACATTGTCCTCATCAAATATGTGACAGATGGTTCTAAGGTAAAGTAAACTCCAGCGTTAAATCAAGCGTTAAATCTTAAAAATGCATTCAAAGTACCTTATTTACAAAAATGTAGCCTTTTTGTGTATCACTCGGCTGTAGATCCTTAAATCATCTCTGAATTGGTGCTGACACCGTCCTTCCTTCTGGAGGGTGACTACTTTTGTTCCTCATAGTCCCTGTGTGTGTCGTAAAGTAGTCACCGCTCCAAGCTCGCTCCCGTAATGCAATACAATCTCAATACAAATTAGTAAACTAAACATGAGATTGTAGTCCATCACAGGAGTGAGCTTGGAGCGGTGGCCAGGGGTGTATCTGCCGCGAGTCAAGCAAGGCATTTGACTTGGGTGGCACTTAGCCACCGCTCCAAGCTCGCTCCCACAATAGCCTAATACTTTTACAACAGGAAAAACTCCCCAATTGGGCTTAGATTAAAATAAAAAATCTGACAGGGATTTTCACCATTCCATACGCAATGAAACTTTGGCTTTATACTTTAAGCAAAGCAGGTTTTCTAACTTTAGCACAGCTGCAGTGTAACCGTAGATCAGCGGTTGAAATTTCTTGTTATCTGGAGTTGCTTCTTTAGAGAACAGTGTAAATAGCAGAAGAGATTTCTCTACTTGTGTCTGGATTGTAGATAAAGCAAAACAAAACGTGTCTCTTTGTAATATCCTGGAAACTTTGAATGTGTTTTCAGCTAACAATAAGAACAAACTAACTGGATAGTTCCTGGATTTTATGCCTTTGTGCTCTGTCTGGAGGAAGTCATTATTGTTCTGGAGTCAGGAAATGTCTGTTACAAAGCATTTAGATTTTGCCATTGCCATGACTGCAATAATTAGGGCAGTATAAATGTATACCGAATGTTCCTTAAAATGACCAGTACCTTTTTTTAAACAGATTTGTCTTGCATACAGTAATTGATTTGACATGTACAATAGGTAAAGGTGCCCATCGTACGAGAATCGCGGAAAATCCCACGATCGTACTAGAATCGTGCAGTGTGAATGAAGACGTGCGACCGTTTCTACTGTACGGTCGCACGTCTTTTGTCTAAGGAGCATGCTAGAAAAGCAGCCGAAAATCGTAAGATTTTCGGCTGGTTTGAATGATGCTCAGGAGACAAATGCCGAATGGGCCGGTGTGCGCACGCGCACACTGCCCGTTCAGCCTTGCGATGATCGCAAGTACGATCTGCCTGTCCAAGATGGGCAGATCGTATGTTTTTTTATTTACTTTACAACCATCGCAAGACTAAGGACTTTCCTCTTCAATAGCTTTAGCCGGGGAATGACAGCTGTCTGCTGAGGCAGCTGAATGTGAACACAGCAGGCAATAGCTGGGAGCAATAGCCTGCCTGCTATTGGCCATTTCAAATTGCAATAGCAGGCTGGTTATTGCACCCACTCCCACCCCAAGTTCTCCTTCAGGTTCGCTCCTCTGCTGATTGACAGCAGGCAGTTGGCGGTTGAAATAGCCAGCCTGCTATTGTCTACTGCGATTTAACTGGGAGCGGACTGCAGCGGTCTGTGTCCCCACTAATCCCAGCTGCTGATGCAGGTGGGGAGAGCAGCAGGGGTTGAAGGGAACACAGACCGCAGCATGCAGTGGGCTCCCAGTAGGGAGGAAAACAGGGGGAGCGGAGCTGATGCGTAGGCAAGGGCCAGTGAACTGGCTGACAAAAGCCCAGGTGCCAGGACACAATTTTTAGTCGCCATGGCAACCTGGCACCTGGGATTTGTTGAGCTCTGGTTTAGATGCTTTTATCTACAGTTGATCTGTGTTTAGAAAACATCAAAGTCAGGTGCGTCAAGGAATCTATTTTAACTTGTACCAAAAACACACCAGAAGCATGCAAGTGCATGTAAACGCGATTTGACGCTTTGACAGATTTTCCTCTGCATATAGAATACAAAAACGCAAGTGTGAATGAAGCCTAAAGATTAAGTTTAGTGTATGCCTATATTACATTTTCTTCTTCACCCCTCCACCCTACATCTACATGGAATTACATTTTTTTAATTATATAATTTAATTTTTCAAGAAATACCCAGTGATTGCTCCAAATATTGGGGAAGGGTTCAGCAAGGTTTTGCAAACGACAAATCATTCTGCCTCGGATCTTTTTTAAAAGAATTATATGGAAGAATACATCCTTGGGATCCCTTTTAGATGTACTTGCTTCTCCCTGCTGGCAACTGGAATCTGCAGACTTTAGCTGTGCAGTCTGCTGTTTGTTTGGCCCTGGTTGCTGGCATGTCTAAATGGAAATAATGTAAAATCTGCGCTTATGGAAGGAGTGAAATATAAAAGCTGCTGCGCTATGGTTTGTAGAAACTGTGAAAAAAGTGAATGTGCAGCGCTATACTAAGTGAAATGTAATCCCCCTTTCGGGATATATAAAAGTAAAAATATTTTAAATAAATATCACACAATCATAAATAATCTTATAAACCTTAATATACAGTGAATATCCAAAAATATAGGTTAAAATGATATGTTCACACTGTGGTGATGTAATTCCGCTTCCGGGATATATAAAGTAAAAATATTTTAAAATATTTTAAACATTTTAAATAAATATCACACAATTATATACCGTGAGTATCCAAAAAGTGGATTAAAATGATGTGTTCACACTGTGATTAAAAAAATTATATAAATAAAAATAATTATAGTCCTTGAGTGAATGTACAAATAGCAACCAGTTTTAAAACCAATTCATAATAGTGCTTCTCGTAGAAAAATGATTAACGTTCTGTGCAGAAAAGTTTTCAAGTGGATCCAATAAAACAGAATAGAATAAATTCTCCCACACCGACGTGTATATGTGTCTCCAAAGTGTCCCCCTTCGGGGTGCGCACTCACCCCTCAGCTGGAATGGTATAGCGGAGATGATGAATCAGCGGGTCCACATCCCGGATGTTACTTTCAGTAATGTTACGTCCAATGCGATTTATATAATTAAAAAGGAAATCTCCTCATGGTGCAGTATACATAAACGTTTATTAATAAAAACATAAGTGACTCACAGTTTAAAACATAAGATCCGGCCGGTAAGATACAAGCGTCTCAGTCCTCTGCTACTTCCTGGTATGACGTGTTATCAAGTTGGATAAGCCCGCACCGACGCGTTTCGTCACACTTGACGTCCTCAGGGGTTTGCAGACCTTAAAGGTGCCCATACACTGCACGATTCTCATATGAGAATCGCAGGAAATCCCGCGATCGTACGATAATCGTGCAGTGTATGGAAGGCGTGTGACCGTTTCTACTGTAGGGTTGCACGTCTTCCGTCGAACAAGCAGGCTGGAAAAAACCCGCCGGGAATCGTACGATTCTCGGCGAGTTAGTGGCCTGCTTGTTCGACAACTGCCGACTTCCGTTTGCAGTCATTGGAAGACAAAAGTCTTGCGAGGGTTGTAAATTGTATGGCCACCTTTAGTGTATGCGTATGTGTATATTGGGCCCCATTCACACCTACAGTATATTTCAGGTGTGATTAGAGATTCCTGTGTCAGGAACTTGCGTTTTCCTGAAGCAGGAATCCCTAATCTGCCGTTTACAAGCGGCAATTATCATAAGATTATTTAAGAGGGTGTGTTTAGGGGCGGAGTTAAGGCCGGGGCAGGGTAGGGGTTAGGTGGGGCAACTGGTGGCTAGTAACTCTTAAGGGCTGGCTAGTAGCTCAGGACTTGAAATTTTGAGCCCTGCTAAAGGGATCTGTTGATGAAAGAAACATCCATGCATTACATCTTTTTCTATCTCTATGTGGTACAGCAGACAGAATACTTAGACGTACATGGAAGACCCTTTAAGTGACATAGTTTTGTGTGAAGACTATACAAGCTTACATTGTACTAGTGACATTTCTTTGGTTGTCTTCTTCTAGCTCCATGTTCAGCACTGAGATACCACCATGAGAGCAGGAAGATATTTGTGGGACAGGATAGTGGAGCCATTGTGGTGAGTCGATCTACTCTATGGTAATTTGTCAGTACAGATTTAGATAAACTTGTGCACAGAAAAATGGAGGTGTCGCTCTATCCGGCCTGATTTCATCATGAAGGGCTAGTTCACACCAAGTGCGGATCAGATGCAGAGCAGTTACAGAACGCATGAAAAATGCATCCCATGTATTCCAGTACTGTTTTGGGCTTTAGTTCACACCACAGCGTTCAGTTCCAGAGCATGTGGAAAAACTGCAGCATGCCCTATTTGTTTTCTGCTCTGGAACGCACCAAAGCACATGCAAACACCCTGGAACACACTGAAAGCCCATTTCAGGCTAAAAACCGACCGGAACGCATCAAAACGCACTGCACTGCATATGCAGAAACTCATGCAAATCTGGTCCGGATTTGTTGTGAGCAAGCCCAAAAGCAAATACGTTGGTTACGTATTGGTTCCTGTGGGCAGTAACTCTGCTCCAGTGTTTATAAATGGACATTTTTTAAATGTATCTAATTCTGCTTTGTTTTCACTTGTGCTCACTTTTTTTCTGGTTTGTGCCAGAAATGTTGCTCCTATAGCTGCTTTTATTATTCTAACATAAATGCAGGTAAACACACTAATGCAGAGAGCAACAGGGTTGGAAGGCAGTTGTGCATTTACCATTTTTTAATGCATCAGAGTAACACACATTTGTATGTCTCCTTAGACCGAATGCTGCTACTCAGTTTGGCCTTTTCTTAGGTACAAACACGAGGATAAAGGGGAATTCTACTCCACAATGTTACTGGTTTATAGCCAGTATGTGTGTACTGTTACAGTATACTTTATCTTGGCAGCCCTGTTAAGATCCAGTAGAGCAGTGGTTCTCAACCTGTGTAACCTCAGGACCCACATTTGTCCTTTGGTCATTAAGTCGTCACCCAAGTCACACCACGCTGGAATGCATGACATTGCTGTATCGTGCGTTCTGGTGCGGGCAATCGAACTGTGGGTGGGAGGTGTGTTTGGGGTGTCATTCAAATGAATGGCAATGCAACACACCCCCCACACAAGAATGCGCGGTGGGTGTGATTGCATGGTAAGGTGAGTTAATCGCATGGGACTGTGCGATTAACACACTGTACCAGTGTGAACGGGCCCTTAAAAACACTGACAGACACACACAACCAGAGACACAATCTCACTCACAGACATTCTCACACACACATACACACTCCCAAAAAAAATAAATTTTTGTTCTATTTTAAAGATCCACCCAGTCTCCCTATCTTTCAAGAACTGAAATGGATCCTCAGCCTGGGGTCCAGCGTGGGCTGCTGTGCTGTGATGGAGCTCCATCCATATGTGCATTTCTGGTACAGCTCCCTTGCGCACCTTGTAGAGGTGCCAGGAGCCAGAATGTGACGTCACTCTGGGTCACGACCCACCAGTTGAGAACCAAGGCAGTAGAATATCTCCTGCATTCTTCTCATCACACCTGCCTTTCAGATTTATTTCAGTAGGGAATCATTGAACATACAGATTTGCACATATTGGTGGCCAGTAGGAGAGAGAGGCTGCAGAATAATGTTTCTCAAACTATGATCTGTGGAGTGTTGGTGGTCCCTAGGCATCTTCTTACCCTGTGCTATTATTGGTGGCAGTAGGGGGTCAATTTTGGTTAAGGGCTTGATCACACCATGTCCTTTGAGCTGCATTTTCTGCACACCTCTGCACATGTATGATGTGAACAATAGAAAACAAAAATTGTTTTCTATGTGCCCTGTTCACTTGTGAACTAATCAAATTAATATAACAGTCCAGCATGCAGGGATGATGTGCTCTAGGCCCTAATACTCAATGGGGAGATTTGCCCACAATGGAGTGCCAAGCCTTCTCTGTTTTTCCATATTTGTATAAATGGCAATTCCAGAAAGATTGTACAGCAAGAGGCACAGTCGCCATCTTACACCTTGAATGGACATTAGAAGTAATACATAGATCAAAGGGGTAACCCCCAACACTTCTAAATATGTCAAAGACCCCTTCAGTCCGTCTTTCTACAGCTTCTTCTTCCCCTGCCTGACATGTAGCCTTGTGTGATCTCCAATGGTAACGCCGAGGCTGTGTTTGGAAGCTTGCTGGTGTGCTATATACGCAGTCGCTATAGTGGTGAGTAATCCAGAATGGCTACTCAATCACTTATCCTTTTATATCTCTAGTAAAAGTCTAGAAAATGAAAGGATCTCTGTTAGTTGACACCTCCATTTGTATAGTCTCCTGGCATGAAATTGTAATAATTTGTTTTATTTTACATCTCTGCTGGCTTCATTTAATATTTTCTTTGTGCAATGTAGGAATTTCTCATGTCGGATGACTTCAACAAAATGAACTTTGTAAAGACATACCCGGGTAGGTAGCCAATAAACGCTTTGTCTATTACTTACAGAATGTCTGGCATCTGGCATCCCTAACAATAATTCTCTTTACCCTGTACAGCTCATCAGAGCCGAGTGACAGAGGTCGTTTACTCTCCTGGGCCTGAATGGGTGATCAGCACTGGGCAGGATAAGTTCATCACCTGGATGTGCACTCAGAGTGGCTCTTTGGCGGGCAGATATGCGTTCTCTGCTTGGGCATCTTGCCTCGAGTATCCTTAAAGGCTCATTGTGATTTATAATAGTTTCCCCAGCTGGAGTCCATTCACACCTTAGTTCTAACTATCTGGAGCATTTCCATGCTCAGTAAAGTGCATCTAAATGGTTACCCCTTTAGGCAGAGATACTGCAGTTTAAGCACCACCGTTCTGCCAGTTGTGTGCTTACTAACTGCTGCAACGCATTATTCTGCAGTATTCCAGTATTCTGTTTTGTTTCTGAAGAGAAGTGATTCAGAAAGGTACCCTTTCCCTGTAATGAAGGGAAAACTGCAAGTGGTCCCTTTTTTTGTTTTCTAATGCGAACTTAAGAACAAGTGCATAGAGAGGACTGCTTTGTTTAATATAATTTAACTCGGGGAAATGTAATCATTATTATTATTATTATAAGTATGATCATGAAGTCTTATGAGACTCCACAGTCAACCAGCAATGGGCAAAATAATCTTCTGGTCACTAGGGCATGCCTTGACTGGGAGATATGCCTATAAAGTAGTAACAGATGATGGCAGATATATCTGCTCTGTCCATGTTTGTTTGTGGCTAAGACTAGCCATAGACGATTTGAACTGCACCCGATTACTGCTGAATCCCCCAAAATTCGAGCTGTGAGTGGCCCTATCGGCACCACCTGGCTCGTTTAAAAAAATTGAAGGGTGGAAATTTGTCAGCCGAACAGTAACATCAGCCAGTCATATGCAGTCATTAAATCTAATGTAGTACAATCGTCCAAGGACCTGTAGCACACCTTACCAGAACTCCCATACGTATTTGTGGGTGCTCGCAATGACCGCGGATGGCGCCGCATTCAGCATAATCCAGTGTAGAAACGTCACCAGCACGACAAAGACTTAGACGTCAGTGCAAATCCATTTATTGATGTCAGTTATCACTTAGGGTGTCATCAATCGCTTTTGGGGCCACTCAGGGTCCCCTTCATCAGGCTCAGAGTAAACATCCTGGATGTTTCGTGCTGGTGACGTTTCTACACTAGATTAAATCTAATGTGGCACTGCACAGCGCTGAAAACGTACATTTTAAAAGTTTTCAGCGCTGTGCAGTGTTGCATTAGATTTTCAGGAGCTTTGGACTTTTTGGCATAGCGGCTTTTAACTTTATATATATCTATATATAGATATATATCTATATATAGATATATATCTATATATAGATATATATCTATATATATCTTTCCTAAGTGCAGATTATTATTATTAATTCATACGCTGTCATTGTTCTGGTCAAAATATAATAGTCAGAAGGGGATATTCTTCCATCCACGCTGTTTAGCTTTTATGGGGAATCAGATGATTTACCTTGTTGAGAATAGGCAGAAACCTATCGCTTACCAAGAGTGACAGATTTCTTTCATCTTAAGACATTCGTGAGACGCCGCCGCCACCACCACGTGTGTATGTAAGCCAAAGGAGACGCACCTTTCCATACGTCACATTGAGGGAGAACCAGTTCGACACGGCTGGCTACCGTAAACCAAAGAGACGGCGTGCGCTTCAGCTGCACACTGTCACAATTAGGAGGAGGGACAAAAAAAGTCCAATGAAGCACTAGATCGCAGACAAACTGACGGCCCCACTGGTTGTGTCCAAACCCAGGCCAATCGCGGTCCAGGAGGAATTTACCACACACAGCGGGGATGGGCAGTATGCAGCAGAGTCAAATTTATACTTGTGCATGAAACCTTGCTTTTTGGTATGTGGAAGTATTTTCCCTGTCCTATCCATTTGTTCATACATTTTAATAATGTTCGGTAGAGGTGTAACATTTATCTCTCGCTCTATTATTGGGTTATAATTTGTCGGTTCTGTTGATACATCTTTACTCAGAGTTAGGCCTGTCTCCATGACAACTGGCGGTTTATTAGGAGTTTAGTATTATCTCTTGTCCAGGTGATCCTTAAAAAAAATTCTTGTTCAGATACGATGAAGAAACCAGATATGCCTTTGTTGGGGATTTTTCTGGGCTGATTACACTGCTAAAGCTGGAGAAGGACAATTCTTCTGTGATATCAACACTTAAAGGCCATGAAGGTAATCACTCGAAGATTATTATTATTATTATTAGGCTTTAACCTGGGCAGGCAGTGCTGGCTAATTTATAAATTATGTACTGTATTAAAAACTTGACTCCCCGCTCCGGCTTGAGAAAGAGGCTTTGGCCTCGAAACGCGTAGCCATTGGAAGAACCTTGCCCAGTCCCTGACGTCAGACTCTGCATCGAGCACACCGCTCTACACCAACGATACACGGCGAGTCTGACCACAGCATAGCGGTGCACGATTAGAACGTAGCCGCCAAGGCTCAGCCTGGCCAGCTGAGTCCTTGTGATCCTACGTAGTGACAGCTTGTTCATCCGTGACTCTACATAGACACATTTGCCGCTGACGGAGGTCACGAGTCATAACACAGGTCACAGCCCTTTTCCAGCCCTCTCTACCGCAACTCGGGATTGCTGACCGGGTCCCATCTCGGCATTAATACACCCTTGAGACATCCGCAACCTCTTACAACAGTGAGTCTCTTTTTATTAAATCAATTATATCCACCATTTTATCCAGCCACGTGTCAATGCTGGCATGCTGAAACACCACTATTTACATGTTTTTTATATATTTAAAGGGCAGTAGCGCTTCTTTGTTTTTATTAAAAAAAGATTGTGTTGTCATGAAGTTCCCATTCTAGACTGATGTAGCCTATATTTGTTCATGAAGGAAGCATGCTTCCATTTCCATTGAGGAAATTGTCTGCAAGGAAAAACAAGCCTCTTGCATCAGCTTAAATTATATCTAAAGCCAAAACCTTTTTTTTCTTTTTTTTCCATTTTGGATAGAATGGGGAAGGTTTAAAGCATCAGGTTTGAGATTTCCCTTCACTTCCTGTTCTGTCTTGTAGAGCATATCTTTCCAATGTGAAGGAAATCCTAAGTTGTTAAGAGAAAAAGTGTCCCCAATTGAAATATTTCCCATCTATTCCTGTTCTGCTGGCTCTAACCTCTCAACATTCTAACCAAAAAAAAGTTCTGCCTTCGTCATACTTTTAAAGTTCACCTGCACTCTCATGCTAACATTGTAAAACTATGTTAATAGTCTTGCTGGGGGACAGCGGCGGCACCAGGGTGGGTGTCACCGGGTGCAGGCACTGTGCATGCCTGATGATGCTCGTGGTGTGGCATCATGACGTGAGGCCATGACTTTAAGAGGGGGGTGACACCAAAATGACTGTCATTAATTTTTGTGTCAGCACCTCTGATGGTGCCACCTGGTGCGGGCCACACCACCTGTGTAACCCCTTTGCTGGGGTTTAGATATAGTGGAATAGAAGGGCTGACGCGTTTACCTTTCCTAAGAGAAACTACTGTTCCGGGCTTTCTTCATTACTTGCTACGAGTCTGAAGGTCTAGACACTTTGAGGCTCCCCCAGCAGACACTGGGGGGAATTCATGAAAACTGAAGGAGACACTTTTCTTACAGCAACCAATCAACGGCTCTCTTCAGTTTGTTCAGTTAACCTTTGAAAGTGAAAGAGAGAAGCTGATTGGTGGCAATGGATATCTGCTCCAGATTCTGTCCACTCCAGTTTTTATAAATTCCCCCCTCTACTAATGATGCTTAACTTGTCACGTCACTCGCAAAACAATCATACCAGATATGTCATTCATAAGGTGGTCATATACAGGGATATCTGATCATGTACTTTCATCATTTAATGCCTGTTGGGTGAGCCTTCTATTACTACTAATGTCACGTGATCATATAGAATCTCTATAAATTGTTTCATCTTCGGATGAATTTTAAATGAAAAGTTCCAATTTACCACGTCAGTCCCATCCCTTTCTTATAAACATATTGAGGGTAATTTATCAAAACTGGAGCAGCTGTGCATGACAACCAATCAGCTTCTCTCTTTAATTTTCAAATCTTAGCTGAGCAAACTAAAGAAAGAAGCTGATTGGTTGCCATGCACAGCTGCTCCAGATTTTGTCTGCTCCAGTTTTGATAAATTCCCCCCCTCCATTGTGTGCTATTCTCTTTCTTTCTATACTTGTTTGGAATTGAAAAGAAACAACTATTGTATTCATTGGATCTCATTAATTAGCCATTTGGTTTTTGGTTTTATTTTGGTGACCATGACCACATGCTTGTTGTGTTTTTTTCCTCTTAGGAAGCATCTCCTGTCTCTTCTGGGACCCTGTACAACGGTTTCTTTTTTCAGGGTCAGCAGATCACAGTATTATATTGTGGGACATTGGAGGGAGACAAGGACGAACAATAATTCTCCAAGGACACCAGTAAGGATCATTCTTTGTCATGTCCTTCCACTGGACATCCAGTGTGCGGTGTATGACGCTACTCCATTCATCTGTGTGCTGTCCTTTATCTGATCTCCAAGAAAATGATTCTGGCCCAAAGCCAAACTTCACTTTAATGTAATGGGATGATGTAGAGTAACAAACTCTGAGTCACTGGTTACGTATATCTGTCATGTAAGACTGGATGACTTAATGAAGCACTAATTGAGTGCACATGGGCAGCAACAGGACCTACGTCATTATCTGTAGGAAGATTTAGAAATTGATGTATTGAAAGGCGTGACATCACATGTCATTAAAGGAGAACTATGAGGCGAGTGAAAATCACTCGGCCTCATAGTTCTAGCCGACGTGTGACAATGAAACTGTCACATGTCGGCTCAATAGATCGGGACGTGAGCGAACACATACCGTTGCTCGCTCACTTCTCGATTCTGTCCCTGCAGAGAGCCGTGACTGTCACTCACGGCTCCCTGCAGGGATTCCCCACTCTGATCCTCCAGCGCTGACTGGCCGAATGGACGGGGGAGGGGGCGGGTACAGCTGGCTCTGCCTCTAGATAGGCAGAGCCAGCTGTCAATCACGCAGCTGGGTGAATCTCCACAGTAATTTCGGGATCCGTCCCGGCTGCGGCGGTCTCGGTATACCGCGAGCTGTAGCTCGCGGTATACTGAGCTTTGGGTCATGGGAGGACGCTAGTTTATGTCCTCCTGTGACCCTGAGGAGAACTATGGGGAAAAACACTTACCCCATAGTTCTCCTTTAAACATGAGTAGGGAGATGCTTTGTTGTAATTGCCGCTATGCAGAATGAGTGCTGGTTGTGTCCCATTAATTTAACATTATTTAGTAAACTAGCTGTAGACAGTGGTGGTAGGCTTAATGAGAAGGTTGAGAACTGTAAACCTGCTTTCTTTCCTCAGTGACAAGGTACAGGGACTCTGCTACCTGCAGCTCACACGCCAGCTGTTGTCTTGTTCCGTCGATGGAGGAATTTGTGTATGGAATATGGATATTGATAGGGAAGAGGTATGTCTTCATCTCAGTCTTGCTTTATTTGTGATCTAAATATAAAGAAAAAAATGGTAACTCACTTTAGTATTTCTTAAATACCTTTTGCAGTGTCCCACCTGGAATTTCAAAAATGATCAGCAAGTGCACAGCATTGAGTTCCCCAGTGCTCAACCATGTTACCCATCATAGGGAACCAATGCTTCTAGCATTGTAGAACACATCTGTTATACTTACATTTCTAAATGCATGGGGTAAACTTACATTTCAAGGCACAACTGTCTGATCAGTCCTACTATAATGGATGAGTGTTCCGGGAAAGGAACGTGTAATGTGTGGGTATTCCTGAAAGGGAACTTGTAATGCATGGATGTTCATGGAAGGGAACATGTGATGCATGGGTATTCCAGGAAGGGAACATATAATGAATGGGTATTCCAGGAAGGGAAAATGTAATGGATGGGTGTTCATGGAAGGAAACATGTAATGCCTGGGTATTTATGGAAGGGAACATGTAATGCATGGGTATTTATGGAAGGGAACATGTAATGCCTGGGTATTTATGGAAGGGAACATGTAATGCATGGGTATTTATGGAAGGGAACATGTAATGCATGGGTATTTATGGAAGGGAACATGTAATGCATGGGTATTTATGGAAGGGAACATGTAATGGATGGGTGTTCATGGATGGGAACATGAAATGGATGAGTGTTCATGGATGGGAACATGTAATGCATGGGTATTCCAGGAAGGGAACATATAATGGATGGGTATTCCAGGAAGGGAACATGTAATTGATGGGTGTTCCAGGAAGGGAACATGTAATTGAATGCATGGGTATTTATGGAAGGGAACATGTAATGCATGGGTATTTATGGAAGGGAACATGTAATGCATGGGTATTTATGGAAGGGAACATGTAATGCATGGGTATTTATGGAAGGGAACATGTAATGGATGGGTGTTCATGGATGGGAACATGAAATGGATGAGTGTTCATGGATGGGAACATGTAATGCATGGGTATTCCAGGAAGGGAACATATAATGGATGGGTATTCCAGGAAGGGAACATGTAATTGATGGGTGTTCCAGGAAGGGAACATGTAATTGATGGGTGTTCCAGGAAGGGAACATGTAATTGATGGGTGTTCATGGAAGGGAACATGTAATGGATGGGTATTCCTGGATGGAAACATGTAATGCATGGGTAATTATGGAAGGGAACATGTAATGCATGGGTATTCTTGGAAGGGAACATGTAATGCATTGGTGTTCTAGGAAGGGAACATTGATGGCGCACTCACCTGCAGGTTACGGTGTACTACTTTAGCCCTTTAGTGACCAGACATCTTTGAAGTCTAGATGTTCAGGTCAAATTTTGCAGCATTAGGATGTGTGGGTATAACTCTGTCTGATTTGCACACCTGAACCTTGAGTGTTGTCCACAATGAAGACATCTGTTGAGGAATTGCCAAGTAAAATCATTTGCACAATGCTGCAAGCAGTTCATTTCACATTTCAAGCCCATATCTGTTATTTAGCAGTTTTCCAAAACGTGAACTATGGACAGGTGGAACAATGCCTCGGGACTTAAAAGTAGGACCCATTAAAGGAGAACTATGAGGTGAGTGCTTTTCACTCACCTCATAGTTCTAGCCGACCTGTGACAATGAGACTGTCACAGCGCTGACTGGCGGAACGGACAGGGGAGGGGGCGGGTACAGCTGGCTCTGCCTCTAGATATGCAGAGCCAGCTGTCACTCACGCAGCTGGGCGGATCCAGACATAATTGTCGGGATCCGCTTCAGCTGCAGAGTCTTAGTTGCTCGCGGTATACTGCGGCGTCTCAGTATACCGCAAGCTACAGCTCGCGGTATACTGAGCATAGGGTAACGGGAGGACGCTAGTTTGTGTCCTCCCGTTATCCTAAGGAGAGTTCTCCTATAAAGCAGTTGCCATGCTCTCTCACGCTTGCAACCAGCCGCTCTGCAGAAGAGATTTTCCCCCAAACAGCACCTGATGAGCACTAGTATTGCTTTAAATTGTAGACTGAAAGTGTCTGCCTTGTTTGGCTTCATTGGCTTTTTTGGACCGAGCGGTTAATTGGCAACAGGGAAACCTGAAAGAGCAGTGGATGCTCCATGTGCTGTGTATGTAGTATTCTGCTTCCTGAATGGTCAGCAGTGGTGACTTAAGCTGGTCATACACCTATAGATTTTCTCTGGTCAGATGGAAAAAAATGTAACAGATTCCTCTATCTACACTAAACTGTGTGGATGGAGGAATCTCCCACTGGGCCAAGCTTCAGTATCTTGATAGTCGGCCCCGCTGGCTGTCAAAATACCTGAACAATCTGATTGGATGCAGGCATTGTTCAGGTGTTTTGAGAGCCAGCGGGGCCGACTAGCAAGATACTGAAGCATGGGCCAGCGGGAGATTCCTCCATCCACACAGTTTAGCATAGATGGCGGAATCTGATGCACTTTTTCCATCTGACCGGAGAAAATGTATAGGTGTATGGGGACTCTGTTCATACTTATAGAGCCAGCAGCCGGCTTTACAGTGGAAGCGATCCTGGCGACTCAGCTGTTGCTTGATTGCTTCTATGATCCTGTTGAAGTGTTTCCTGGGCTCTGCTGCCCCTCCTACGGGCCCGGGACTGACATCTGTCGGCAGGAAGCTGGTGAGGAGAGCAGTTCACTGCTCTCCTCCCCTTTCTAATGGAATGGGAGCGGCACTTATTGCATCACCTCTCGTGCCATAGCTGTCAATAGATTATTTAGAGTGTAAAGGTGATACCAGGGGTCTTTTGGACCCCCAGTATCACCTTAATGAGGACCTGTCACCAGCAATATATATATGTAATAGTAATTGTAGTGAAGTTTAAAAAAAAAAAAAAAAAAAACCGTTTTAAAAATAATATTCAATAAATTAAATGTAAAAATAATTTAAAAAAACATTTCTTAAAGTCCCCCACCCCCGCGAGCACGCACGTAATTGCGTAAACATGCGACGGGTGCGCCTACGTATAAAAACGATGATTGCGCTACACATGTTGGGTATCCCTGCACACGCTAGAGTGAGAGCAATAATTCTAGGGCCAATATTTACGCGTATCTCTAAACTGATGACCTGTCGTCCATGGACTTTTTGGGGTACTGAATTCTGTCGCAGTTTCACGGACGCACACAATTTTTAACCTGGACATGTTGGGTATCTATTTACGTGTTGTATCCTCATCTTTTATATTGTACAAAATAAAATGGTTTTAAATAGTGTTTTGGGGCAGTAAATTTAAGTGCATTTTTCACTCAACTTTTGGGTTTGATAAGTTGCGCTAATGTCGTGCAACAAAAAAATTTGCAACTGTCACCATTTTATTCTATAGGCTCTTGGCTTTCAGAAAATGTATAATGTTTGGGGGTTTTATGTAATTTTCAGGCCTAAAATGTGGATTATAACATGTACACCAAAAAATTAAGAAAAGGCCTTTGTCCTTTTAAAGGGCTATCTCATAAAGACCGGCATGATCTGGTCTCCATCTGTACTCGTATCCCAGTGCTTACTATAGTTCACATATGTACTTTTTGATGCATTACAGGCTCCTCAGTGGCTAGAAAGTGATTCTTGCCAGAAATGCGCACAACCTTTCTTCTGGAACATTAAGCAGATGTGGGATACGAAGACACTAGGGTTACGACAGGTGGGTAAAGTAACAATCTCTTCTCTCTAACTCTTTGTATAGTGCTGCATCCCACCATACTTGGTCTGCTGATTACTGAGAAGAAATACCTCCGTTTCTTTATTTCAGCACCACTGTAGAAAGTGCGGCCAGGCTGTTTGTGGAAAATGCAGCTCCAAGAGATCCAGTTACCCCATCATGGGCTTTGAGTTCCAAGTGCGGGTCTGTGACTTATGTTATGAAACCATCAAAGACGAGGAGTGAGTATCGGGGGAACAGAGATCTGCACTATTACTATTTTGTGAACTAAATAATTGCTTTTAGCAGACCCCTTTCACACTATCCGATCAGGAGGAGATCCATGCACGGATTCCCTCCTGATCGGAGCGGTACGGATCGGATGCCACCGCTGTGACATCCATGTCTGTCCAGTTTTTTTCCTCCATCTTGCAAAGGAAGTAAAAACTGAAATGATTGGACCCCATGCTGACATGTGTCCCTTTACATCAGACTACCCCCAATCTGGCATGATCAGGTCGGGCAAAACGGAAAAAACACTGTTTTTCTGGACCTGGCCGGCGCTGGGGCAACTGGATGTAAATGTCCACCCATCCATTAAGCTTCGGCTGCTCATGGATTTACATTGAGCATCCGATGAAAAACAGAGAGGCGGACCCAACCGTACCACCTGTCTGAAAGGGTCCTTAGAGCTTGCAAATATGTTTCCATGTGTTTTCTCTTTTGTCCTCCCCTCTACCTGAAGCAAAAGTGGAGTTGTCTATATTTTAAATATCCAGGATGTGCAGAAATGTATCTCTGGCTAAGGTGGCAACATCTATTGTTTTACAAGCTTTTGTTTAACAGAGCATTTAAGACTAGACTGGTAAAATTTTAAACCCTTGGTACCCAATCTGCAGTACTTAAGACTTAAGAAGCACAAATGTGTAGGCAGTCGTGGGAGACTGGGGACATACTTCAGGACATACTGTAGTTATAGACAGAAGACAAGTTCCATGAGACTGCTAAAGATCACTGCTATTACAGCCCCTTTATAAATCTAAAGGGGCTGTGATAGCAGTGATTTTTAGCAGCCTTATGTAACATGTCTCCGTCTAACTACAGTATCTCCTGAAGTATGTTCCCAGTCTCCAACAGCTCCTATAGCATGTTCACAATCCCTGACTATCTCCTGTAGTATACTTGCAGTCTCTGATCATATCATGTAGCATGCCCATAGTCTTTGACCATCTCCTGTTATATGTCTGCAGTCTCTGACAGCTTTCTGTAGCATTACATTCACTGACAGGGTTATTCACAAAAGGTTGATGAGTTTGGAGAAGGCAGGAGAAGTGAACAATCTAGGATGAAATAGCTGATTTGGAAAAATTCTCCAATTCAGCTCACTTTCCAGTTCAGCTATGTTGTCCAAGATTGTTCAACTCTCCTGCCTTCTCCAAACTCTTCACCCTTTTGTGAATAACCCTGTCAGTATTGTGTGGCTCTGTAGTGATGTCAGGGGCTGCAGTTGAGGCCCCAAACATCGAGTAAGTTGACCACTGATCTACATATTATCAAATGAGAAATCAAATATTGCAGCACCAGCTAAAGATGATCAAAACTCTTAATAAAATCTTTACATCTGCTAACCCATAAAAAAAAAACATGTAAAAACAGTTTCCCCAAATTTGAGAAACGTGTCAAAATATCCTTTTTGTTAGGAATTTGTATTTTGGTACACTTTAGTGCAGTATTTTTTTGGCTTCTGATTTAATAATGGACAGAGAAGTGTGTAAGGAGCAGGAGCGCCATCTGCTGGCTTTAAAGGCAAATAAGAAATATTCGTATACCACATTTCAAATTTCTCTAACTTTAGACAATGTAAAATATTGTTTAAATAACTTTTTAGACCTGAACATAATAAAATCTATACAAATCACTGGATTTCCCCTTTAACATGATTGTGCATAATATGGAGAGATCTGGTGTTGAATTGCCATATGTCATTGTAATTTAGAATCATCCATGTCTCCTATAAGTCTCCTATAAGTGGCTGAATACATATACTATAACTCTCCAGTGTTCATCCAGTTATAACATTAAATTACTCAATTTATTCAACTTTGTTTTTTTTTTTTGTTTTGAAAATATTTGTAAAATCTTATTGACAATGCTCATGCACAGGTTTTAATTTACTTTTCTACACAAGTACTTCAGTTGTCAGATAAGCATAATACTAGTATCTCTCTTCTCACAATACACTAGGCTGTTATTTTGTTTATTAATTTGTTTAAATGTTTAATATAATCCCATGTTGCATTGTGAAAAAGTGTATTTTTTTTAATTTTGGCTGAACGGGTCATCTTAATTATCAAACTGTCTTTCTTCTGAAGTCGGACACCACAGGCCACTTTCCATGAGGGTAAACACAACATCTGCTACATGACAATGGATGTCTCTAGAGGACTTATGGTCACGTGTGGAACAGACCGGCTAGTCAAGGTACCGGACAGCAAAATCCAATGTTGTCTCTTATAAGATGCATTATTATGGCCCACCACACATCTGTAAAGAGAACCAAATAGGCATATATATATTTTTTATAATGTACTGGTTTTAGTTGTTACTTTGAATCGTTCTTAAGAATGATAGCAAAGGAGAAAAAAACTAGCAGCTGGAATCATTCTGCGATTTCAGATGTCAGTCAAATATACAGTGTGGCTCATAGCAGCCTTGGTGGTGAAGTAGCGCATACAGGGAAATCAGAATACATGGTCATTGTAGAAACAAAAGCATACACATAAGATTCATTGCATAATGTATCAACTGAAGAGCAGGCACCTAGAGGAGCACATGCACTCAGTTTGCACAGCATCATGGGAACCCCTAAACCTAAGCTATTCTGCAATGCAAATAGTGATTTCAGGTCTTAAAGTTGTGCTTGGGCTTATCCCCTTCCACCTTACTATGGGCTACTGTAACTGCTCAACGTGGCTTTGGTCTAATAGCAAGGTCTGGGATGGGACAAGTACAAGTTTCACCCAAAAGATTGCCCTGGGTTTAGAGGATAATGGTTGCTGTGCAAACTGCATGTTCAAACAGGTTCATGCACTTCAAATTGCCAGCTTTTATCTGCCTATAGGTTTGTAGTAGATTTTATGCAAGCTTTTACCTAATTGGCTCTTTAGAAGTCTTCTGTGCTCCAATTTTAAAGAGCATATCTAAACAGCAGCCTGAAGACTAAAGAGCCATCAAAGTAGTTTAAACACCTGCACATGAGGCATAAATCCACAGAGCATACCATTCCAACAGTGACGCATGATGGTACTACCATGGTGTTATCAAGGTGCTTTTCCTTGGCAGAGACTAGGAAACTGGTCAGGCATGAGTCGAATCTATAGGAAAATCTGTGTCCGCCTACAAGAGACCTGAGACTGGCTGGAAGTTTATCCTCCAGCAGGACAATGACCCCCCCCCCACACGCACACACCACTTATGTATTTTAAAACAAAAAAAACAATCTTTTAGAGCTGCCCAATCATAGCTAGAACATTTCTGTTCACTACAGGTCCCATCTAATGCTGGGCACACACCTTACAACCATCGCAAGACTTTTGTCTTGCGATGGTTGTAAGGTAATTAAGAAAAACGTACGATCTGCCTATCTTGGACAGGCTGATCGTACTTGCGATGATCGCAAGCTGCGCCCCCCCTGAGGGGCGGGCTTCCGATGACCGCAATGCTTGCGCACACCGGCCCGTCCGGCTTTTATCTTACGAACATGCTACACACCCGCCGAACATCGTACAATGCTCGGCGGGTTTTCGAACATGTTCGTAAGTTTAAAGTTGTGCGACCGTACAGTAGCAGAGGTCGCACGGCTTCCACACACCTTACGATAATCGTACGATTTCGGGATTTCCCGCGATTATCGTACGATTATCGTAAGGTGTGTGGGCACAAGGCAGTTATGTCAATAAAACCAGACGTAAATTCCAAAGCTGGTAGGTTGTTATCCCAAAAGACTTGCAGCTGTAATTGTAAGGTGATTCAATCCATTTTTTTTTT